TACTCTTCCAAACACAAATGTCCTTATTTTTGTGCCAAGTCTTTTTGCAATAAGAAAATAAAGCACATCAGACATTGAAAAATTAACATGAAAATGTCATATCTTGCTGTAGCTAAATATAAAACTGCCTCAGTTTGGATAAAGAGAAAGCCTGAATGAATTGATGATCTAATTATTAGTCAGATTGTTTAATACCACACTACTAGTGTCAATAATTTTATAATAACGTGTGAAAATTAGGTAACACTGATAGCTGAGTACAGGTTGATGAAATGCCAGCTGTAAGACAATAAAAGTAATGTCGGAGCTCAATAAACCATTGAAAATTTACTTATTTTAACTGAAGTATAAGATCTATTAGAAACTGGTAAAATTTTACTTGTTTCTAACGTTTTTCACAGGACCCCACTTCAAAAGATGTGAGCTCTGTCCTTTAACAGCACATACAAAGATCCACACMCTGTAATAGCAAGACTTCTGTCTCAGGGTAAGATACTACATTTACCAAGTGGGAGTGCTGAGATAAAACAGCAGAACTGCTGCCCTGAGGGAAATACACTGCTGTATTCCCTTCTAGACTGTAGCTGTGATTTATGTCTGTGTGTTGAACTGGTGTGTGTGACCATGATCATCTCAGTGTAGCATGAGAGTGCACATTTGTATTGTTAGAGGCGTGACGGGTGTTGGTACTCATGTGAACTAGACACCTAAAGGCATCTCGAGAAGGAAGAAAGAAAAGAAAATCAAATTTTCCTTGACCTGCATCCATCTCCATGCTTGATGGTTCTGTCATATCTCCAGCTTTGAATTCTTTCGGTTTCTCCTGTCATATCTCTCTGTCCAAGCTGTTCTTTTCCCTCACTGAATTCTGTCAGCATCACCACTCTTCTGCAGTCTCCCACTCCTACCTGCTCTCATTGATTCAAGCTTTAAACTTGCACTCTCATTCACTTACCCTGGAGGTGAAGTTGAATTACAGCCATTATCTTGCTGTGTCTGTGCACCCTCGCTGCCTCTGTGCCCATCTGAGCTTTTCTCCTACATACTATTTCTTCTAGGGCTTCAAGACTCCATGATGTTTTGGTCCACCTCTCAYTCACTGCAAATTGAAAGGTGCTGGAGAAAAATTGTGCAGTAGATACTTTGTGTTTCCCTTATCACCTCTTGTGTGACCAAATTACCATTGTTTGTCCCATTTTGAATCAATAAATTAATTATTTTTACAAGTGTCATAGAAGTGTCCCGATACCCGTTTGTCTCAAACTACATACGAGAGTTACACACTCACTTATAAACAGTTTCACAACAACAACAAAAAAGTTTGACTAGACACAGGGCTCTCAAGTTTTCACCTGAGCTTGGAGTGAGATTTCGAGCCACTGAACACTTTTGTCAAAAGTTGCTTTTGGCTGTCCTAAAAACTGCTAAATAACGTCATCGTCCAATTTGCATATTTAGACTTTTGCCAACAATTGTGATCAGTGCTGTATGGTATTTAATGTAGGAAAGAACAGTGTGTAAAATCACTCTGGTGGGGGGTCTGGGGGTCCTCCCCCATAAAAATTTGAATGAGTTAGACGCCATTTCCTRCATTCTGGTGTATTTTAAACAGACTCAGTTGTAAAGTTGGGTGGTGTAGGATAGTTTCACCTGTTCCTGCATCCTGTTGGTTACATCCTACATTAGAAACTGACAGTAATGACTACTTTATAGACCTGTCAGGTTTAAAGGTTGAATAATGTCAGTATTAAACATATTCTTGATCAGATGTTATGTTTAGAGTAACTGTTGAATTATATGAAAATAATTTTATGATTTATGTTCAGTCAAAAATGTCAAGAGGTAAGTCAGACATTTTTCACTCAAGGTCAGGAGAGGCTGAGGTTTAAATTCAGCCAGAGAGCTTAGGCCTTTAATCTGACTGCTCTACGGATGCAAGTGGAACCATCATTTTAACATGAATACCTGATTTTTTAACATGACTACTTGATTTGCAGTATAAAAACACTGTTTCTATAATCAGAACCACTGTGTGTGTGTGTGTGTGTGTGTGTGTGTGTGTGTGTGTGACCTATGTGTTCAATGATACAATTCAAAACACAAATCAGTTTATAAAAGCTTATTAAACAAGCAGCTTTTCATAAAAATCTAAGCAAATGTTAAACAAAAACCAACCTCCAAAGTAGCTGGAACTGTTTGTGGGTCCTGCTGCCTCTCCCTCAGTCTCCTTCTCTACTCTTACATCTCCTCCTCTCCTTCCTCATCTGTCCCTTCCTCCTCTTCTTCGCTTCTATGACTGGAATCAAACTCCATGACTAACTGGCCTTTTCAGCTGCTAATATTGATAACAACAACAGCACTTTTGCAAATAATTCAGTTTTATAATACAAAAGCTCTACACAGCCACTRGCTCTTATTCAAGCTGGTGGCTGTGCATGTTTTTATTAGTATGTGATATTTTAATAGTATGTATGAGTAGTTGTAGTCTTGCGTGTGACAGTCTAAAGCAGTGTTTCCTAAAGTTGGGGTCGGGACCCAAAATGGGGTCCCGAAACATCAAGGTGGAGTCCTGAAAAGATTTTCGGAATTAATTACATTTTTGGCTTAGTTGTTACAAAGGAGTGAGGTTAGTATATTTAAAATGGATAAATGTTGTATAAAATATTGTTACTATGCCCATGTTTTGTTTACCTGATACAAATGTTTATCATACAAAAATAGTTGGGGGCTCAGGTCTCTGCTACTGTTATTTTGTGGGTCAAAAGCTGAAAAGTTAGGGAACCACT